CCAGCATGCAACAAACTAAATCAGAAAGATGTGGGCGAAGTGCAATCCCTGCACCCTTTGCAAGCTTCATAACAACTCCAATTGATGCCTTACGTGTACTATCAACTTTACTCATTATGCCTTCTACAAGCAGAAAGGGCAGAACAATATCCATTGTTTGGTTTGCATCCGATGCTTGAGTAAGTGAGACATCACAGAGCCTTATTGTTAATGAAGTTATAGCACGGCATAATTTGACACCAGCATTTCGCACAGTCTCCTTTATGTCATCCATGGCACAAAATGCTGCTGTCCATATTTTTTTCAAATATTTCCCAACCTATATGAATATGAAAGGAATGAAATAAATCAACACTCCAGAAGAATTTTTCAAAGACATTTAGTACATGAAACTAAAGACAAGTTTAGAAACATTTCCACAAAACTTTATTTAGTACATATTTCTGTGTAGATATGAGGCAAAACATATAAATGAAAGAGCAGGAACATAAAATGAAAATAGAAAAAGAAATAACTATTGAAGATGTCAAGCACTCATTTGCTTTTGTTTCCTAATCAAGACAAAATTCTCATTACACCCTTTACTTTTCCAACCTGAGTAACTTGGTATAAGGAATTAAGTATTTTGAAAGGTAATAGAAAAAATTTCATCAGCAAAAACTCGTCACCTGATCAAATTTCCGTCCTTGGATAATATCTGAAAAAGCAAGACAAGAAGCCTCATGCGAGCGCCAATGCCTATTTTCACATTGTATTAATAGATCATCAAAAATAAGGTCCAGGTTCTCATCAATGGTCCTTTTAGGATCAGCCACAAGTGCTTTCCATATAGATGACATGGCATCCTGTAAATGATTAAGTGAGCAAGAAAAAAAAAATTAAAACAAAGATGCTAATTGTTAGCAACAACCGGACATTTGCATAAAAATTCACAGCATTTGAAGGGGAAAGGAAACCATTTTAGAAACAAGTTTGTTAACTTAACAAATTTCTAAAGTGATTAAACAACAATGAAATAATGAGTTTATAGGCTTTCCTAGCATCCAAGCATCATTAAAGGACTCTTACCTGCACATTTTTATCAGGATCATATTGGTAGCGAACAAGCCTTGGAATCAATGAGCTCAAGTGAGGCTGAATGGCATCCCCAGCTTGTTTGGCTATCTTAGAAAAGCCGAAAGCAGCACCCCTCTTAGAATTTAGAGAGGTTTGATGATTGGCCAGATCCATGAATTTATAAATTAAGTCCGGTTGCCCTATCTCATTAGCTAGATTACAAAGCACCTTGTACGTGCTAAGTTTTCCACCACTAAGACTTTCACCAATAGCCCCTTCTTGAAATACTTCAGAGCCTTCAACAAGCTTAAGAACATATAGACGTAATGTCAGATTCATAAAGAAAAAAAAACTGCAAAAGGAAAAGAAGATGATGCAACAAAAAGATCCCAGAAGAGACAACATAAAGAACAAATCCAGTGCTTATCAATTATCCAATACCTTGTGTAGTCTATTTCTTGACAATGGCTTGATATCTAGAAAATGTTTATGAATGATATTATGCTGCAGGGATAGTTTTATTTTAAATGTTAACATTTTTAGCCATACAGCTAGGTTAGCAAATCTTCATACTAGTAAGCTTAGGTTATTGCTTATTGACTCGTCTGTACTTTTTTTCAGTTAGCAAATCTTCATTTGAATGATCTAAGTTTTTCAGTTTCCAAATTAAAGTCATCCTAAAGGTGGTAGAACACAACAGTTTGCATATGCCTCATTAGGAATGAGAGAATTCCTATACATAGTTTATGGTCCAATCCATCAACCTTAACCTAGCTCTTGTTAACTCCATTTCTATCCCTCTTTTTCTTCCCTCTCCTGCTTGATCATTTCATAATAACTCATTAGCTTCCTACAAACTGCTACCTTTTCCAATGACTTTAATATCCTTAATCAAAATTCTCAATCTATCTCTAAAAAATTCCACTAGAACTTCCACTCTACATCAGGATATCCTTTTACGTTTTTACCTTGATAGCCCTTTTCCTCTTCCCTGAACCAGTTAAAGTACCAACAAGTGAATCTACAAGGTTTTTCTTCATTGACTCGTCACCAAGTTCATAAACAATACTCATTCCTTGGGATGCAAGCTCCTGAGTAAGCTCATTCTGTTCACCAAGTAGCTGTGAAAAGGCTTCCTGCATTCAAATAAAAGATGCAAAAAGGAAATCTTAACAATAATGTCCATACCAAACATTCTGAAATCTTAACAAAAAAAAAACTCTTGGTTGATTAACAAAAGCAGTTAAAGTAAATTGTAATAGAGAAAAGTACTAGAAAGCAGAAAAATAAAAATAAAAATAAAAGAAGTTAAACTAAATTATAGTGGAAAAAGAGCCGCATCAAAACAGAAACAAGTCCGCCTTTTCCAGTTTTTTTTTTTTTTTTAAATATATATTAGCCATAGAGAAATACAATTTAATCATGATTATATGATGCAACTCAATGTCGGAAAAACTTACTCTTAGTAGCTTTTCTTTGGTTCAATAGCACCTTTATATAAAAAATAATCCTTTTTATAATTTGGGGGTGTCACTTGCTTGTTTAAAACTTGTTTATAAGCACTCCTTAAAAGCAGATTAAAGTCTCTTGCATGTACAATTACTGAGAGCAAACCAACTTTATTTCTTTATATATCTGCTTAAACGAATGATTATGTAGCCATTTTATTCTGTAGGGTTTGCTGGCCTGGATTTCTGTAAAGTAACTTATCTACAATATGCTAAGAAAAAAAATAAAATCATCAAAATTGAATCTCAGCACTGTTATATGTGATGTGATGTATGGAGAAAAAGGAAGTCAAACTTTTGAAGAAACTGAGTTTAACATTCCACAGATCATATTGCTTCTTTGTAGAATCTCATCTTCATTGAAAGAAAAATGTAGTGGATAACCTGAATTTCTGGAAGCATTTTTTGGATGGCAGAGTGATGACCACAATACATTGTAAGTGATACAAGCCAGAC